CTGTTGTCGATAGTACACAGCGTTCGCATCGCTCCAGTTCTTGAACACCAATTCACCAAGTCTGGTAGGCCTCACGTGCCTTATTGATTGTTCGAAATGAAGGGACTCATGGTTCCCGTATTTGCGGTTGCTGTGACTGCTCTCCATGCGCATCATGGCCACATGCATGCTCACCAAAAGAGAGACTATATCGAGGAGAAAGTATCTGTTACTGTCCTCGAATGCTGGTTGGGGGACCGTGCCATACCAGAGAAGGATTGCAACGAAGGCATCAAGAATGGAACACTGAAATGGGCCGATGATGGATCATTAGTTGCCCCGCAAACTGCCAAAACGACCGTGTATCATACTGCGACCTCCTCCAGCTCTGCAAAAGCGAGCACAGCGAGCAGCTCCGAAGCCAAGATTGTCGTTTCCAGCAAAGCTGTCTCGTCCAGCAAAGCTGTCTCTTCTAGCAAAGAGGCCGCTTCCAGCAAAACACCCGTTGTGCCAGCGGTCATTCAGGCCTCTACTTCTAAACCAGGTGGAGGCTCTGGTGTGTCGAAAGAATTCCCTGATGGCCAGCTTGATTGCTCGGATTTCCCTTCCGAATATGGTGCCATACCTGTCGACTGGTTGAACCTAGGGGGTTGGGCGAGTGTGCAGAAACCGAATGAGAAGGCACTCGCTGGGTATAACGACATCATGAGCGTTACTAAGGCTCAATGCTCTAAGGGTAATTGCTGTATCGAAGATTCCTTCTGCTCCTATGCCTGCCCTGAAGGGTATATGAAATACCAGTGGCCACCAACACAGGGCGCCACTGGACAATCCATTGGTGGTTTATACTGCAAGAACGGCAAGCTTCACCTCTCGAACCCAAGTGTTAAGACGTTGTGTGCCCCTGGTTCTCAAAACATCAACGTTTACGTCAAAAACACTTTGAGCCAAAATGTCGCCATCTGTCGTACCAACTATCCAGGTCAGTCTCTTATTATTCAATGAAGAAATCACCTTGCTAATCCAATCCAGGTGATGAGAAGATGTCCATTCCAACCGATGCCCAACCAGGCACTACCAAGAAGCTTGCTTGCCCGGATTCTTCTACCTTCTATCAATGGCAAGGCAAGGGTACATCTGCCCAATACTACATCAATATGCCTGGGTACTCCGTCGAGAAAGCATGCGTGTGGGGAAATCAAGGGGACGACTTCGGCAACTTTTCTCCCGGGAATCTTGGTGTCGGCTGGAGCGGAGGTCGTGCTTGGTTGTCCATTACCGCCAACCACCCATCTCAGATGACTGCCAAACTCCCATACACCATTGAACTCGTCGGTGGTAATACCAAGTGCAGATACAAGGACGGCCAATACTGTGGTGGCGACAACTATGGCGATTGTAGCAGCGAAGGGTGCACCGTCTCCTCTTCCGGTGGAGACATCACCTATGTCATCTCATAGATTCTCGATATTTGGACCATATACACCATTTCGCGCCTGTTTTAGCCGCCAACCGGCGGCTCGATTTCGATATACTGGGCTTACGCATATCCATATCGAATTCAGTCATTGACCGAGCTCGCGTCTCCTCATCATCTACTTGCCCTTGTTTTTGCTATGCTCTTTGCGACAGTGTCTTGTGATTAACTTCACCAACCATTTTACGACTACTGCATTGATTGTAATATCTATTATCCCCAATACCCCTCGTGGGTCGGAAATCCTTTTCGATTCTTCTCTTCTGTGTGCATATACTGTGGAGTAGGGAGCTGGAGAAAACGAAAGACCTCTCTTTCTTGCCAATAGGACATCATTCGAAATGATACTTCGGTGCGTGGATAAAGCGACAGGAAAGCCTGTCTAAACTTTGTTTTTGCGTCGGAAAAATGAAGACTGGACGATGAAATTGATCTGGATTGATTCTTCTACTTTGTAAGCTTACCAGGGCGTGTCTGCTGTGGTTTGGGCTGGTGCGGTGCTTGTTGGTGGCCTTCTATTCTTTCATGGGCAGCAGTAGTGAGGAGTTTACTGTATTATATGATATCCAATGCTATGTGGTGTTTAAGTTCTCATGTGCATTACTTGTAGTGGATGTATGAATGTTTCGACGTTTTGACGTTTGCTGTCAAAAGAATTTCTCCGTGTACCCGATGGAACCGTGCCCAGCATTAATATAGAGGCCGCCGTTGTTTACAATTATTCCCTAGCAGAGGGAAAGACTGCCAGGAGCCTGGATCTAACGAAAATATTCAACACAGTCATAGTGAGTGCCATGACTTATGCGCATGCTTATTCATAATGTAAAACCACGCCCAGTGCGATTCAGCAGATAGTGGAAAAGGATGAAAAAGACGCGTAAATGTCTTAAATTCTACTCTTCAATGTTTAGGTGTCTCTCACAAGGCTTAAGAAGCTTAGCCCTGCGCTGACATGAACGTTGGTTGCCTCTTTTCCGCAGGCGCCTTGTGTATGGTTAGCTTCGCCACATCGCCATCCATTTTTGGAACACCTCTCAGCATGTTGGATTTGATCGGCACCACCAACCACCGATGAACGACATTTTCAGGTGGCTGATGAGCCGCATGCTTTGGTTAGGTGTAATGTATATCGGGAAACCTGGCCTTGCGGCTCACGGGTCTTGCGTGGCCCTGTTAGTGGAAGGAGGGAAAGATGCGCGGTGGGTTGGATTTGAATATAAGCAGCTTAGGCGAACGCACATTTTTGTTGGATCAATTCAGTTGTGTACTATCGCGATTGTTTCCTATTTACTCGTTGTCCTTTTTCTTGATATCGTTATACTAGATTTCTTATTGTTCGATTCCTCGTTTCGATTCGCTCAAAATTCAACAACTACATATCCTAAAATGTCTCCTCAACTATCACTCCTAACAAGTATTCTCCTCGCCTCCAGCACAACATCATCGGGAGCCGCACAATCCTCATCTACGGCAATTCACAGCATAACGGCATCAGGCACACAGGCTCAAATCACTGGCAGTGTAGGCACAATCAGCGTCGCATCACTCCAGAATCGAACATCCTCATCGCTACCAGTGATCAAAGCGCAAACCACAGTCTCTCTTTTCAATGCCTGCTCTGGTTCATCTTCGTTATGTGCAGATATCGATGCTCTCACCTACTACGGCGAAGTTGTAACGGCGGATAAGTCATCAACGATCTACGCTCTCGATTGCGCATCCGGTAATCATGGCAGAAAGAACCAAACTCAATGCTGGTCTGCTCCCATGACCGTCACGGCGGGTCCATCACTCTTCCAACGGGTCAACCAAGTCGACGATCAGGCACCGGTTACTGTATCTTGCAAGATCGGCGACGACTCGAAGAGTGCGGTATGCGAGCAAAAAGCCACGAGAGGTCCAGGTAGTCCCTTCGCTACTGGGGCGGTATCAGCTCAAGGCTCATTACCAACTGGCTCTGCTGGTGGTTATGGAGACAAGACTGTCGAGGTGACGACGTTGAAATTCAATGAGGACGACATCCATTATAATGCTCTTGTCATTACGAAGGGTGCGGATAAGCTGAGTGCCACGGATAGCATTGCTACCAGGACACCGTTGCCACCAACAGGCAAGTGTACAGCTTCACTTTCGGTTGCAACTGAAGCTAACAATTCAATAGCAACCAACAACCCAGCGACTTCTCCAACAAAGACTGGCGCCGCGATCTCGAAAAATGTACCTGTCTCAGCATCATTGGCGGGTGTTGTTGCCGTTGTGTTTGCAGTTTTTTCGATATAATATTCTTGATTCTTGAGTTTAACATACATTGGCGTTGGGTTGTTGGCATTTCTGGCGGCATCGGACCAATATCAGAGCGACCTCTGAGTCTGCTTCCTGGGGAGGCGTTTCCTTCGGGTATTACTGGCATGTAATCTTAATTTCTTGTTTATATTAAAACAGGCCGTAATGGATGCTGTTCATGATTATTACTCTTTGTACGCTTGAGACTCCTGACGCTCGGTCTGAATCTGAAGCTGTGGCTAGGTTTGTGCTTCGTTGGCTTGAACGTATGAGTGCGTGCTTGATTACTGAGGAGAGTGTGATTCTTCGTAGGAATTTGTGTATTTCCGTCCTGGTCGATTGTACAGGATGGTAAAACTCATGGTTTGCGCTAACGCCTTCGCTCCCTGTATCGTCCGGACGCCCAAAATTGACAGAATAAAGCATGCCATAGCCTAAGCCCTTTCACTTAGCTCGTGGATACCCCGATTTTGCATCATTCGTCATTTCATCCGAAGCATCAACATCGTCCTCCTTTTTCTTCCCCAGTACCTCAGATATCTGATCCATAATCAGACTTCCGTATCCCTCTCCACTCTCCAAAGCTTCCCTCTCCTTCTTCAACCGCTTCTCCTTCCAGTCATCGCCCTCGTCGCCCATCCACACCTTCTCCAGTACACCTTTCTCTTTAGCGAGCCCCTTCTGCTCCCTCATCTTTCTTTGAAATTCCCTCGCCTTCTCAGTAGGTAGACCATCACCACGCACATTCCCAAGTCTCTGGAGTATTGAATGCCCAGTGCGGTCTTTGATGAGATGATTCGCAGATGCTGTCCATACGCCGATGAGGCCGAAGGTATAGAGATTGAGGCGACGGGGTGGTAGAACTGCTATTGTTGGACATATTATCAAAAGTGCTATTGAGAGGTTGCGTGTTAAAGTTCGATATTGCTGGAGTTGTTGTTCTGGAGTTGGTGTAGCCATTGAAAATCTGAAGAATTGTGGTGTGAAGGTTTTATCTCTTGCGGTGACGAACTTTTTATGGTCTCTTTCTTATTGAATCTGTAATTCAAAGCTATGATACTACACGAACAACAGTTAATGATGAGATTTCATATGTTCAGAGAAAAGAGACAGCTTCAAAAGGTCGATTGCACGTCGATAATGGCTAACCATTTTGGGCCGGTAATTTACAGACGAACAAGCATTTTTTGGCACACACGTCAATGTTGATATTTTGTAATTCAAGCACTTTTCAACGAATGTTACCAAAGTTACAAGCATGACAGCTTGCCAGAGTGGTTAATGGGTATGACTCGAATAAAAAGATATCATATGTGTTCGCACGCGCAGGTTCAAATCCTGCAGCTGTCGCAATTTTTTGCCCGATTTCGTCCTCCAATCGATTGTTGCTTGTTACCTTACACAGGGTGTGCAGGAATTGAGCGCGCAGTAGCGGAAGCGGGCCAAAACCAGCGTTTCCCACCAAAATTAACTAATTTCAAAATGGTCTACCACCTACAACTATAAATAAAATAAGCCTATAATAGCTAGGATAACTAATAATAACCTAAAGATCAATCTAGGAAGTTTCTAAAATATCTGCATCTGATCTAGGTATATAGAAATGGAAATATCGTATAGGAGTCCAGAAAACGCCAGTAAGCGGCAATTCCTAAGTCCAGTTTAATCCGGTTTATTAGAGGAAATCTTCACCTCTAGATTTAGATATCTAGATTAGCTCTATTTAGATTCACGCTCCTATAGAAAGGTAATCTATACTAGGGCTTTCTATATATAAAAATTTAAATTATAATAATCACTGATTGTAGAGGTAGACTACGTTAAAGTTGGCGATTTTGGTGAGGAATCGAGG